AAAATATTGTACTTATTCTCTATTATATATATATATATATATATATATATATATATATATATTTTTTTACAAAGGCAGGAGTGCCTTTTCCCATGTAAGTAAAAATAATGGAAAAGGAAGAGGGTATTTTCTCGTTCAAAAAGAGAGGCTTGTATTCCACTGAGGATACTATTTAGAGAGCTAGCGAGTCACCATACCCTACTGATTTATAGAGACCAAAAATATGCTCCAGATAATTGTGGGTCATCATATGTTGGTTTTTCTTTATTCAATGAAAAGACCAGATTATATGTAACACCACGTTAGTCCAATCATTATTCTACATGGCTGGACAACGCATTGCTCACCACCATTCGCAAGGTATTGAGACACATCTTAGATGTTGAGGTCACGATTACAAAGATGCAGTGGCAGAGGTCACAAGGGCATAATAAGTATCACAAGATTAACATCATCATCCTTATAAAATTATAAATGCCGACAACTCATTGTAAGACAGGGAGGGGACAGACACAACGAATCTACATTTCCCTTTCCTCTTAATTTGTTGAGAAAACAAAAACAAGCAGGGTAGAAATGTAGAATACCAAAGCTATCCTTTGTTATAAGGTAAGCTGATTTTTTAAGCTCAGCATTATATTATAGAAGAAGAAATCCATATAAAAAAAAAATGTTTCAGAAAAACATAATTTATATTTTCAAATCTTACCAGGTGTCCCTACTCACCGGATATGATGAAATTAATATTGATTTACATGTGAAGAAAAAAAACTAAAAGGAGAGGAAAATCAGTTAAACACGGTGGAATATTGGATTAAATTGTTTTAGAGAATCCCAATTTTGTTGTAAAAATTAATTAAGATATCATAAAACAATTCATTCGCACACTAACTCAAAATAATATCATAAATTTTGTCCTTAATAACTTTAAAGTTGTTAGGAAATTATCATCATTTTTATTAAATTATATCCACAAGCATTTATCTTGGCACTTGGTTATACACTTGTACGTGGATTCCTATAATACGCACGGTGTATTTTTCATATCTAAGTAGAAGGTATTTCATGTAATTATGTTTTTTTTTTCTCGCGTGTTTTACACAAATTTGAAGCTTTTGACACAGAAGCAACCAAACACATGGTTCGTATCTGTAGATGGATTCATCTGAACATGGGCTGCCAAACATAGCCAGCATTCTCTAAAGAAATTTGAAACAGCTGTCTGTGCAGCCAACCAATGTCTAGCTAGATAGCTTATCAAATAATAATAATCATAATACTAATTTTGAAGAAACATTGGACCAGTGTTTCGTGGGAAATCATATTTTTAATACGTTCTCATATGACTCATCAAAGTGGTTGTAACTATGATAATCAGACAGTTATTTTGCTAACATAGTGTAAGGAATGAATCAATTGTATGAAGAAAAGAAACATGAACACATAAATTGTGGCGATGATAAATATAGATATATATGGGGGAGGAATAGAACAGGAGGGCCTCCAAAAATGACAAGGAGTGGGAAGTCTTGTACAAGGGTGATGAAAACAAAAATCGCAAGCCGATGATCACCGAATTTTATTTGTGAGGGCAATTCACATAATCAATGCTTCCCCTGGTATCCCCATGGATTTTTGCTCGCCCAGTTCCATAAGTCCCTGCACATTTCCTCTATACCGTATTTTGCCCTGTATTTAAAAACAAAATCATAATCATAAAATGTATAATACTAACAGTGCTAGTGAAATTGCATCTATAGAAGAAGTGTGAATGAACAAGGAAAATTAAGGAAGGAATAGAAAAAGCAGATTTATGTGGCATGTTGTGAAATAGGATGCAGTGTGGGTGTAAGTAACATAATGATAATGGGATGGTGTGTTTTAGATGTGATATTTATAGTGAAATAGAAATACTGACTTCCAACCAAGTTCTCTCTCAGCCTTGTCGGTGGATGCATATACGGCAGTAGCATCTCCGGGTCTCCTGGGACACATTTTGATTGGAATTTTCTGGAAAAATGAAAGGGGTAGCGAGATTAAGTATAGTAGTAGGTGCATAGATATATGAGTATGAGTGAATGAGAATATATAAAATAAAAAAAAAAGGACCTTGGCAGAAGCTTTTTCAAATGCAGCAACCATTTCAAGCACAGATGTACCTCGTCCAGTTCCCAAGTTATAGGCAGTACAACCAATGTTGTCGGTTGCAAAAAGCTTTCGCAGTGCAGCAATGTGACCCTCGGCCAAGTCCATTACGTGGATATAGTCTCGGATCTGCATAGGATGTAGATGTAAATGTAAATGTAAATGTAATGTAAGGGATATAATTAAGGGATATATAATATTCTGGGAATGAGGAATTAATGACCGGTGTTCCATCTTTAGTAGGATAATCATGACCATAAACATTGAGTTGAGGCAAGCGTCCAACAGCAACTTGATGAATGTAAGGCATGAGGTTATTGGGGATGCCTCGAGGATCTTCTCCAAGTTGGCCACTCTCGTGGGCACCCACGGGATTGAAGTAGCGGAGGAGGATGATCCTCCACTCAGGCTCCGCTCGCTGAATGTCTCGGGCAATGTCTTCCACGAAAAGCTTTGTTCTTCCGTAGGGATTCATGGCCTGCAAGAGGGACTCCTCCACGCAGGGAACTTGGTCTGGCTGCCCGTAAACGGTGGCGGAGGAGGATATAACCATCTTCTTACAGTTGTGGTTGGCCATGACTTGGAAGAGGTTGATGCTGCCCACCACGTTGTTGTGGAAGTAACGGCGTGGCTTGGCAACGCTTTCTCCGACGCCTTTGAGACCGGCGAAGTGGATGACGGCGTCAAAGTTAGTTTTGGAGAAGAGGTTGTCCAAATCGTGGACATTGCGGAGGTCTCCGTGGTAGAAGGTGAGGTTGTTGGAGAGGTGAGGGCCCACCAGACGCCCAACCCTGTGGACTGCTTCCATCACGGAGTTGTCGAGGTTGTCCATGATGGTAACTCTGAAGCCCTGCTTCAGAAGCTGCACCACCGTGTGAGATCCGATGAACCCCGCCCCACCCGTCACCAGAACCGTTGTCATTGGGGACACCATCTCTCCTCTCTCCTCTCTCCTCCCTTCAACTCTATTTATTCAACTACTCATCACCTTCCCTTTATTCTCTCTTTTAAATAATAATGCCTACTTACTTTCTTTTTAATTCATATTTTTATCTTAATAATTTCACTTTTTTATTATTTTGGTTGATTATTTTGTTGTTCCCAAAGGGTGGAAATAAGCAGCCTTAGCTTAGGAGAGAATTGTTGCATGGGTTAGCTAAAATATACTTGTCTTAGTGCAAATATTCATCACACTGTCCTTTTTTATTTCCCTTCGTTTTATCTCCTCATTCCCCAACAACTAGTTCACATCAATGCTTCATTTCCATCTTATTATGATTAAATGAATACTCTCCCACTCAATCGCATAAATTAATTAATGGATCATATAAATAAAAGAAGATTGTGACTACTCATTCATGAGTTGAGATAAACTTACATGAAGTTTCCACAAAAGTAAAAGACACTAAATTTGTCCCCTTATGTTATTTATTACAGATTACAATGCAATGTCTATCGTTTTCTTTCAAATTAACATGATCCAAAATCAACATCGGATCATTTTAGAAAAGTTAATGGTAACTCATCCAACGAGGACGCCAGAATATAATTTCTCACCATCTTCCGTTTCCAATGATTCATGACTTCAATTGTATTATTGTTGTAGTTTGTCCTAACCTTGTTGTTCCGGCCAAAAGGTGGACTAGGGTTTTTTCCTAGATCGTGCCTCAAAGTCAGAGCATTCAAAAGTGTAATCTGCCTCCTCAGCTCTAGGGTTTTGGGTTTTATGGTACCTCGTTCATGGGCCTCTTGGGCCCCGAGAATAAGGGGATTTCCTTAACCGTCGTTATCTCTAGGGTGCAGGGTGAGTGAGAGCAAGTCTAGTCAGATTCTGACCGACTGGTTATTTCGAGGGTGCAGGGTGAACGAGGTCAAGTCGAGTCGGGCTTTGACCGATTGGACCCACATTGAGCATTCAGTCGGGTGAATGCCGAGAACCCCCCTTTCATAGGCGAGTGGGAATCGAGTTACGACCGAGTAGAGGGTCAGGGTCGCCCTACTACCGTTAGGGAGGTCAGGTCGGATTACGACCTGGACGGTACACTTGCCTTCCAGCCCTGAGCCTATAA